CCAGTATGTGTGAATCATCACTACATTGCAGTGGAAATCGTATTCGCCGACTCCACGATGTATGTGTACGACCTCGATCACTCATGCCTGACACAAGGCCAGCTCGAGCAAAATCTAGAGTCGGTGTCTGTGATCGTTCCCATGATGGCTAGACTAGCGAACATCACTGTACAAGACAGATTGGCCACCGTGCGGAACACGACGAAGACGAGGCAACAAATATCGTAAGTGTTTGTAATTTTCTTTCTGTCATTTACATCTTAGTTTTTAACTAATTTTCGATGTGCTAATACAACATTGTTTAATTGTAGGGGTGATTGCGGCATGTTCATCATCAAGTACATAGAGTTTTTGAGTGTGGCACATAAGGTTGATGCAATCAACCAGGCATGGATACAAAATTGGAGAAATAAACTAGCATGTGATTTATTTGAATTTAATGGGGATCCGTAAATAATTGTACATATTTTTAAACATTATACAGTTCATTCATTTATTTGTAATTACGAAAAAATTGTAAAATGTTGATTGCATATGTAATATTTAAATATTTATTTTACAATATAGCATACCGTATAATTCAGTGTCTAAAAAAAGTTTCGATTTCAAATAATTAACATAAATAATATGCATAACAAATGAATGTAATGAATGAAATGTTTGAAAAAAATACTAAATCTAATAATTCGCATAAATAATATGCATAAATAATTAACGTCAATGTTATAAATAATTACATTGCCAATAGTTATTAAAATTACACATCCGTTACATTGTCATGTAGAGGAATCTGACTTGTACAATATCTTCTGGGAAACTCTCCGATAGATGTTATTCTAGACGTACGATGCTGGGGAAACTCTCCGATAGATGTTATTCTAGACGTACGTGTACGTCCAGGAGTACGTGGTCCAACTGCTGGTGGCAACAAGTTATTTAGTGGGAGAATGTGGTCAGGCACTTCCCACTAGACTTCACTTGGTACAGGAAATATTGTTTCCGCATATGCTGCTCTCCAATAATCAGTCATGTAATACACACTGCATAAGGTGTGTGGTGGTAATCCTCTATGCATAGCCACTGCCACTGCATGTGTACATGGAAAACTCTCCAACTGAAACCGTCTACACGTGCACGTGTTATCATTCAAGTCCACAATGTATCCGAAATTACGTGCACATCTCACGGAGAAGCGAAATTGATCCAATGGTTCTACATATACCTTTCTTGCCACATCTAGAGTCTTGAAGAGCTTATCTTCTTGAGCTAGGGTTAGCACATTTGCACAACTCTGTGATTCCTCACGTCGATCATGAAACCACTGTTGTAACTTGTCACGAATGTTTTCAATCATTGCAAGAATTGGTAACTCTCGATCTTTCTTGAATAAAGCGTTAAGCGACTCCGCATTGTTCGACGTCATCATGTTGTATCGACGTCCTGGAAAATGTGATCGTGCCCAATGTTCAATCCCCATCTCTGTTAGATACTCCCATGCAGCATGCGATTTACTATCTATTTCGACCATGAACTTATCAAACTCTTCAAAACTGTAAGCCTCTGCAGCTCTCCTAAACAACGCAACGATGTCATTGCCTCGATACCTGGTCTTCAAGTTTCCCTATATATGGTACATACAATAACCATGATGTGCCTCGGGGAAGATTTCGGCGATACCATTTATTATTGACTGCCCTCGATCGGTTACGAATGCAAGATTTTCGACATCTCCAATTACTTCCCTCAACTTCGTGAAAAACCAACTCATTGCTACATCATTTTCTCCGTCGACTATGCCGAACGCAAGAGGGTAAATTTGGATGTTCGCATCTTAACATGGTGCAATAATCAACTTGCCCCCGTATCTCGCCTTAAGGGTTGTACCGTCAACTAAGATTAGAGGTCGCACTGCATTTCGAAATCCTCGAACACATTGTCCAAGGGCCATAAAGAAATTTCTGAAGCGATTTTCGTCATCCTTCTCAATAAAAAATGCCGACCCAGTATTAATTCTTCCCATGTTATAGCAATACCTGGCCAATATAAATAAAAATAATCATAATTTAGATAATATATTAAATATTAAATGAACAGAAAAATAAACAATTCAATGAAATAATTAATTACATATAAATAAACAATTGAAATTAAATAATTAAAATTTACTATAATAAAGAAAAATAATCATAATTTAGATAATATATTAAATATTAAATGAACAGAAAAATAAACAATTCAATTAAATAATTAATTACATATAAATAAACAATTGAAATTAAATAATTAAAATTTAAAATAACAAAGAAATAAACACTTAAACAATGAAATATCTGGCTAATTTAGCATAACTCTCCTCAGCCGAACCCATCAAATCCTCCAATGCACATTCTTTAGCTTTCCAAGCCTTCTGATAGCTCATGACCACCCCGTACTCCCGTCGAACATCATTAATAATGCCCGAAGGTCTGTAGATCGTTCGTGGATCCTGGAACTTGTGCATTATTTCTCGACCAATGAACCATGATCGGGCCTGCCTATGATCATTTCGACGAATACCCACTTCGCAAGTATGTTCCCGTGCATACTTACGGACTACAAAGAACTCATTCGTGTCCATCTTAGTTGCTCGCAAACGCCAATGGCAACTATCGTCAACGCAGATAATTGTGTATAACGACTTGTTTGATTTCTTCACTTTAAACTCGAAGTTATGTTTTAAAGCAATCCGGTGCACAGCTTCTTGCAATTCTTTCTTTGATTCGAATAGTTGCTCGACATATACATCTTCATCATCGGGAACTACACGCGAACAATTAGAGGACCGTGTACTCGGTCCGGCCTGTGAGCTCCCACTCGACTCATGTCTCCTACGAGATAAAGCAATCAAATCCTCGTTTGTAAATGCATTTTCATTCTCGTTGTCTTCAACTATCGATGGAATTCTGTGCGTAACAGTATGACCATGGTGAGTAGCAGTGGTCTCGGGAATAACCACATCATCTTCACGAGCAATCTGAATTGTATCCCAAACATCATTTACATTACGATTCTCTTCATTTGAAACTTCGTGTTCACCCTCATGGACATTCTTCCCCAATAAAGTTACGCAAATAGGAGTCGACTTCCGGCCTTGGTTCAATTTAATTAGATGTTTCATTTCCACTTCAGAAGTAACTTTCATAGGTGGAATTGAAATGGTTGAATGCTTATGAAACAAAAATCTCATTTCCATATCGTACTAAGAGGGATCGACGTTAAGCATGTTTTGTATATCACTGTACATTTTTGCGAACGATGTATTCCTTGTTATAAAAATTGCTTTAACCCCATCTCCTTCACTCGTCCATTTCCATTCCCACTGAGCATTTTCATTCATTTGAAAATTCACTAAAGTAATAAATTGGGACACATGCTGATACCATATCTGCCACAAATTAAAAATAAGGAATTAATATATAATTTTTTAAATTGTTCATTTCATATTTAATTTAATTTAATACTTTAAATAATTCATTGATTATTTTAATTGTTTCAAAAATATTTATTTCAATTAGTATTTAAATATTCATTAATATTTATTTCAATAAACATATATTAATGAACAAATAAATTCTAAAATCTGAAAGGGGAAAAAAAAAAGGGCTGGCCGGCCCAACCGGCTGTGAACAGCCGGCTGCTTCCAGCCGGCCCAGTTATCTGGGTCGATTGGAAATAGCAGGACAACTGGGCCGGCTGGAAATATTTGACCCAGCTTTTTTCGTCCGTTTCATCTGAAATTTACACTCGAATTTTTTATTTTTTCCCTTTTTCAACAAAATAATGTTTAAATATTTATTTTATAGACACCTATAAATTTTTCCTGTAAAATATATGCATACAGAGATGAATTTTTTTTTTGTTTTTGCTATAAAAAAATTTTAAATCTGTGTTTAAATACTGTAAAATTCATCTGCCTTTCTCAAAATAATTATTTACAGATTCTAACAGTAAATTTAACTAAAACAAAATTCAAAATACGTATTTACACTTACCAATTTCCAGTGCCCACTGTGAGTATTGTTTATTTCTTGAACCTTTAATAATTTTGAGAGATTTCAATATTTTAGCAGATGGAAGGAAAAAATTCTTTTTTACTGTATTGGAGAAACTGATAACCAAAACTGATTTTGAAATTTACGTATGGAAGTAACAGAATTTATTTAAACTATTAAGGGTATTATTGTCTTTTAAACAATTGATATACTTTTGTAATTATCAAACATGAATAAGGGTAGAATTGTCTTTTTAATGACAATAGGCCAATGTGGTGAATACAAAAAAAAAGATCAAAATGAAAAATTGATTATTTGACCAAGCCATTTTAAAAAGTACCCCTCTAAAACATCAACTCAAATAGTCATTTTTAAAAGGGAGATAATCCAATTAAGTCCACAAGAATTGGGCAGAGAAGAAATCAAAAGCTACCCGCTTTTAGATTCCATTTTCTGGAGCATCTATTTCAAGAAATAGTTAATGATTTTCTTGGAATTTTTACTACAAATATGCTACATTTTTACGTAAATCAATCCATTAAACTCTTTCACAAATTTAATCAACTCTTTCAATGACAATTTATTAATAATTCTACGGAAGCAAGAAAATAGCATGATCTTATTATAATCTCGAAATTCGTAAGCTTTTTGTCATCACTCTGAATTTAATTTTATTTATTTATTTATTTGACGGTGTAGGCTTTCTTATGTGACGTGTATTTCTGTATAATACTGCCTTGTTCGCATCCTTTGCTCCCCACCTCAGACCCATCTGTCTTCTCACCTGATACCCTGTGTATATACTGATGAAATGATCAAAAATATGAGGTGGTTTTTTTTGTGGAACTTATCGTATGGTTCTTGAGGAATTTTTGGTATGTTTCTTGATTTCTCAAGAAACCCACAAGTTTTCACTCTTTTATCCACCGTTTTATTCATTGTGGTAAAATAAAATTATTGCTTAAGAATTTCTGATCTGGGTTTTACTTATTTTCATTTATTAGCATTTTTGCTTCTCTGTATAATTAGGTTGTTTTGATTTCTTGATAGAATGTGTTTGACTGGAACTGTTAATTTATCATGGAATTACTTTTTAATCCCTGTTTAATTTTGTTGGTGTGGTCAAAATATTAGGCTGGTAGTTAACTTTGTCCTCTTTTCCTTCTAAAAATAAGGATCTCAGTTCTATAGATCAGGTTCTTCTGCTACTGGCAATTTTCATTACTATTTCTGTCATTATTTAACTTTGTATTTCTCAGATTGAGGTATTGATCATAACCTTTTATTGAATTTTATTTATTTTTAATTGCTAACTGGAGATTTTTTATGGATCCTGCCATTTCACAGATTCTTACTAATAACGAGCTAATGAATTGCATTGATTTGGAAGTTTGTGAAAGATTCCTGAGAAACGAAAAAGTTTCATTAACACCTAGTTAGTTTATCTGAAAAATGTTATTGGTTCCTTCAATGCTTTGCTATTATTAATGTATATATTGAAACAGGGTGTCCCAGGATTTGTAGATTGCTTTTGTCTGGTCCTGTCGATGTTCTTGAAGGAGTTTAGTGCAAAATAAGTTCAAGAAAGATGAAGAATTCTTACGAAACGCATAGCAATGGACATGTGAAAGATCCTGGCCTACAAATTATCCGGCACCCATTATACCAATCCCCGAACAAGTTTTCGTTGCCTTGGTTTGATATACGAGTGTCCTATGTTAGAATAAGCCATTGCAGGGTCGATGATTCGACCCCAGAATTTCTCACTCTCAATCATATCCCTCTGATCCATGACACGCTCCTTGAAGTGAACGGCATAAGATGTTCGATTGATTCAGAAGGAGTTTCTTGCCTTCTCCGAAGGGATAGGGTAGATAAGAAATCTGAAGAGGCTACATTTGTTAGCACAGATAGTATACGGTTAAACGGTAGTGCAAGGTTTGAAGTTTTTAATAAAGAGGAGCTCGTGCTTTCCGGGATTTTGGGAATGTCCCAAGCCAATGGTTCTATCCTGGAAACAAACAATATGGCCCGGAGGTGGAGCATGAATTGTGAATCAGTAATGACTGCTGGCACTGGATTTCTCATGGGGAAACACGTAATGGGCGCTGAATCATCATCGCCTACAATCGAAGTTTATGTTGCGGGTTGTTTCTCAGGAACACCAGTCATATTAACCAAGACATTGCAGATTAATCTTGCAAAGAAACATAAAAGGGGAATGTTAGATATGATTCCAGAATGCGAAGCCTCCGAATCCCATGAAGATGTTGCATCTAGACCTGATCTACAGGTAATGTTGTTCAATAATGGCATGTTCAGTTTAGAGCATTTTTCTGGCACTGGATAGCGTAAACTAATAAAAACAAGCTAAAATCTTGTAACTTATGTTGCCGAGTTTTGTTCAATACTGCGTCCAAACCAAACTTTCGCCAAGCATTTATTATCTTTACATATTTGACTAAGATTCTTGCATTCTCATTCTATTTATTACATTTCTTCATGCTAACGGAAAACACATCTACAGGTAATGTTGTTCAATAATGGCATGTTCAGTTTAGAGCATTTTTCTGGCACTGGATAGCGTAAACTAATAAAAACAAGCTAAAATCTTGTAACTTATGTTGCCGAGTTTTGTTCAATACTGCGTCCAAACCAAACTTTCGCCAAGCATTTATTATCTTTACATATTTGACTAAGATTCTTGCATTCTCATTCTATTTATTACATTTCTTCATGCTAACGGAAAACACGGCCAATCAAATATACCCTGGAAAAACTATCCATCCCGTAACTCAATGTTCATAGCATTCATTGTACATATTACTGCAATAATTTGAAATGCAGAAAAGTAATAGCTGACATATCTGGCAGGAGAAGTATTTGTATCCAGATTTATTGTGCTATTCTTAAATTCAATTTTTCCATCTTCAAAGGTTTACCTATACTATTGCAGCCATTGATTAATGAACTACCTGTTAATGTAGTCCAAATGTTTATACACAAAGCACAAGCATGAATATGAGCACCAGTCCTGTCATTTTATCTATCGTTCTGTATTGCTTTATGCTTACTTCCTCTTGCAAAAAATGTTTCTTTGCGATTTTTCGCTAGAAATTGAATCTTAAGACTATAAGTAAAGTCTTTTCCCAACATGACATAAGGGTATGGGCAGGCAGGCACACATTTCGAAATAGCAGAGTATTCTCTTGTGTTCTGTTTCCTCTCGTATTATCCATATCCTGATCCAATCATTGAAAAAACTAGGTAGTTAGTCTTCAAGTGTGGGGCCCATTAGTCACTTTTCGGCATATTATATCAACCTTTTCGAGGTCAATTATCTTTTCAGGATCTGTGTGACCATAACTTTCAGTTTTCTTGAAAATTTTATAATAATCTACACATGATATCCCCATGTCTACTATATGGACTCATCTGATAAGATTCCTCAACATGTGTGACCAAACTATGTTTTTGTTTGTATTCAATCTTCTAATGTTCTGATCATAATGGAAAAGTATCTGATGTATGATGCCTACGTTACATGTAGCTTTCGATCAAATGTTGAAGTACATGTTAGGGAGTCGATTCTTAAGCATCCGCATGGCACATGGAATCTTGTTTTAGACATCAAATGGTATATGTTTATAGTGAACATCAATCTTGAACGCCAAGACATGCTATTAAACAGTATATTTACTGTTTAAACGTCCAAGTCATGAGTGTCGTGTATCTATATAGGTCTAGAAGCCTAGCAAGAAATGTTTGTGTTCATTTTGTGAGCGTTAAATCTAAAGTCACATACGATTTACGTTTGATGATGTTTGGTACGTAGGACTTGAGAGTATGATAGACAAGATTTTTTATTTTTTATTTTTAACTTTTTTGTCTCTTTGATGTTGTCGGCTACTACTGTAGTGTCCACCTTATCAAACAAACCACTAATATACAGCTAGTAGACATTAGGATAATATTCTTGCTTTTGTCCGACGTGCATCACAGAACTTCTATTTACCCGACTGTATTAAAGAAGAGAAAGAAGTTAAAATATTGTCTTTTATCGTCTAATCTTATTTACCACTACATATCAAAGTTAAATTGCTATATTTCCATTATATCCTTTTCAGGTTGCAGAGTACAAAAGTGATAAATCGGAAAGCGAAGAAGACTATGATAACCTGTATTGGAGACGGACCGAATATACCGAAGGTGAAGACGGGGAACTTTCCTGGTTTAATGCTGGTGTTCGGGTGGGTGTTGGCATAGGCCTTGGCATTTGCTTGGGGATCGGAATTGGAGTTGGTTTGTTGGTCCGTACTTACCGAACAACAACCCGAAACTTTAAAAGGCGTTAACAGACCTTAGTTCGGGTGCTCTTTTCTCTCTTGAGTGAGTGGATTAGCTAGGTCCGACTATCTTTGTAGAACATGGATATCTTCTTTTTACCCCGAGGATGACTATCTTTAAGGTGTGACTAATCCCTCTCCCTTGTGTATGGCAATTGGTGTCCTAAAGTGCCTCAGCAACCAAAGAATTTGTTCTGCTTCACGAGAAATGGAGTATGTCAGTATTATCATCACACCTCGTCTCAATCTACAGGCTAACACAACCATTAGGTTGTTCATTTTGAGTGCAAATTTTCTTAATGTTTATTTTTCAAAAAATGGGAAAGCCAAATGAAAAATACTGGACTGTCTCGGGTTCTCTTTGCATGCTGATTTTACATTTTTCTTTTTTAAATTTTGGAAAAAAATTATTATACTGTTAATTGTTTTGAAGAGAATGTTGGTATGGATTATTCTATATGTATCGAATGGTGTACCTTCTCTCACAATGCATACAGGCCCTGTGTGAATTTAAAAATGCCGACATGTGGTCTCTACCCCTGTTGTGAGTAGTAGGTAAAAGATTCGAAAAAAATTCGATACGTATAGCATTGTCCGGTATGGATTATATTGTACTGTAAATATATTTCTTTCTTTTTGCAAAGTGATTTTTTGTGCTTAATGATTTTTAGGTTGTAAGTTATAACTCAGCTTATTTTCATGTTTCGTATTTTTTTACGTAAATTTTCTAACTTTGAGTTTTATAATAAAATTACAGAAGGACTTTTTAAATGACTTCAACAAAATTAATTTAGAGCTAGTGAAAAATATATTTACCCGAAAAATTAAAAACAAAAAATTATCAATTAGAATATTAAAAAAATAAAAATCATTGCAAGTATTGACTAGTTTAAAATTAAAATGTAAAAGGTAAACTTCATTAGTGGTAATTATACTTTACTGAATAATGTCATTCATAGTGGATAATGTCATTCATAGTCAATGATTGTAGTGATCTTATGTGACTGCTTGTTATTTAAGACATTATTTTTCATTAGTTATTGATGTGAAATAAATATAACTTGGGAGAAATAAATGATGATTATAAGTTATGACTGTCACATCATCTATTTTTATCAGTTCAAGAAATGAAATTGGATGGATTAACCTAATTGAATAAAATAGAAGTATACTTACCTAATTGATACTAGTATATCGGTTAAATGTAACTATTTAGTTTTTAGCTCCTATGTAGCATTACACAAATGGAATACTCTTTCCATCCCATAGAGATAGGTTTACCTTCATTTTTACATAGATTAAAAAAAATGTAATTAATATAGTTGGAACAATAAATTTTATTTATATTTTTCCTAACATAACCATACATTAAATAATAATAATATAAATAGGAGTAATTTATATTTCTTGATAACAAGACATACTAAATATGGACATATTAAAAAAAATTAAGAAATCAAATATATCCTCAACAAGGAAAAAATGACCTATAATTTGAGATAAATGAAAAATAATAATAATGTGTTTATTCTTATGAGAGGAAGAAAATATTAATTTATTAATTTGTCATTACTGTTGACATATGGTCGGCTTCATTCTCAATGTTTTGATCATAACAAGATTAATATTGTTTCTAACAATTTATTTTGAATGATAATAACTCAATGTTAAAATTAATCAAGTATTATATATCGAATTTGAAATAAAGTTCAAAGTGGAAGTTAAGCATTCAAGTCAAATCATTCAAGACGAGAACTTAAATGATAAATACCAAGAAAGATCAGGATGTCAAAAAAGATTAAGATCAAGAGCATGAGATACGACATCAAATAAAGATCAAGATGAAAAGTTCAAGAGCCAAACATGAAAGAAACTTCGAAGCAAGATCAAAAACTATGCCTTATAGATCATATGCAAAGATATAACACTTTGATCTTTAGTAATGAATGACAATAGCTCAAAAATCATTTTGTGCATGAAAAGTTATTTTCACTATCACTTGCATAAAATATTTTAATCAAAAGTAAGATTGAATTTTCAATAGCTCAAAAATCATTTTGTGCATGAAAAGTTATTTTCACTATCACTTGCATAAAATATTTTAATCAAAAGTAAGATTGAATTTTCAATAGCTCAAAAATCATTTTGTGCATGAAAAATTATTTTCACTATCAATTGCATAAAATATTTTAATCAAAAGTAAGATTGAATTTTCAATAGCTCAAAAATCATTTTGTGCATGAAAAATTATTTTCACTATCAATTGCATAAAATATTTTAATCAAAAGTAAGATTGATTTTTCAAAGTCATACTTGAACTTATATCACAATTCGGGAAAAAAAAAATTAACGGTCAACCGGACTTCTGGTTCGCCAACGGTCAGAATTTTTAACCGTTCTCACTTCTGACGCGCAACGGCTAATTTGGTCATTCGGTTCACAAGCAGACGTCTAGGTGGGTCGTTTGGTTGGGCAGAACTTTTTCGTTTTGATTGTTATGAGTACCACTTCGCTTTCATTCATCACAACAACCACGAAGAGAGCTTCATTGTGAAATATATTTGTGAAAATCTTCTTTGAACTTACATTTCTATTTTCATTTCATTTATTTCTTCACAGCAAAAACTATGATTGTTGATTCAAACTTTTTGAATCAATTTATCTCATCAAAATTTTTCATCTCTCTTTGTTCTTAATTTATTCATATCAATCCTAAAAGAGAGATATATTTTTGAAGAAAGTTTTTGCACTTATATTGCATAATCCTTTCTACTTTTTCATATTAAAAACTTTGATTGATTGAATCAAAATTTGTGCAATCATCATATTCATCAAAGTTTTTTATTATTCTTATTACTTAACTTATTACAATAATTCATTTAAAGAGAGATATTTGTTGAGAAAAATTTTTGAACTTTGCATTTATTTCTTCATAATCTTCTCATTCAAAAATTTTGATTGATTAAATCTAACTTTTAATTATCATATTTATCAAAGTTTTTCATATAACACTTGAGCTATCATTTATTACTATTCATTGAAATGTTAGCCTCTCTTAATACTTAATTTATTTTGTATTATTAATGAAGAGAGGATTTCATTGTAAAATCACTTTGATAAAGTGTGGACATATTGAGGTCCCCTAAAGCTCAATAGGTGGGTTATATTAAAATCCCGTAAACCTCAACAATGTGGGTCATGTTGGGCTTCTACAAAGTTCAACGTTGTAAAATGATCGATG